CCAGGTTACTAATCACCCCCCGAGTCAGCGGGCCCCCCGCCATAATAGAGAAGCTTGGAGCCACATAGATGCCTCAGCGCCCTGTGCACCAGGACATAAAGAGAACCCGTCACCAAAATATGGGCTCGGCCAATGCAAGCTTTCTTTCAGGCGCTTCCCAACTTTCGGGAACGAGCGAAAATGAGTGAGCCCAAGGATCATAATGACAGCCAGGTAATTACTACTCTCAGGAGGTAGTTGCCCAAAACAGGAACAGGTCTTCATTCTCATGACAGGTTCACTTAATGAAGAAGGCTGCATGCATGCGCTGAAGCCTACGAGTGGAGGTCCTGATGTCTGTAGACGGGCCCCTCCATCCACCTATAGTCACCAAAGACTTCATAGAACAAGCCATAAACGCATGGCCCGGGACTAAGGCTCTCTCATCCTACTCCGGATGTCTGCTGGGCCCCACGGGGACCCACAAAGTTTTCCTATTCCGGTGTGCAAGGCTGGTCCGGCCATGCGAGGGATATTCTTCCTCCAGTTCTCACACTTCTTCCATATAAAACATATCCAAGCTCACACTCAGGTGACCCGTAAACGCTTCCCAATGGATGGCCGCAGGGCCAGTCCGGGCCGTATCTATAGATAGTCTAAAGTTACTTATCCGCATGGCCGGTGTGAGGTACACGCATGCTTTTCGCTAGTGTGCTACAATCGTATTATACAGACGGAAGAATATTTTATCCTAATTGCCCGGCGTGCAGGTGTCAAAATATCGCCCCCGAAATAGGGAACGGCTAGAAAGCACCCCAACCAATATATACACATGGAACCAAACACCCAATCTGGTCTAAATACGCCGCTATCAATGGAGCTTTCATCTTACAAATATATATATTCTGGAACAGATTTGCCGCAATCTCATTTTTAGGGTCATGTCACCCCCCCAAAATTATATTTCAGTTAGAGGGGGGGGGGCGGGGCGTGGTGGAGAGACCAGCAGCGACAGCTACCCACTATGGGTCTGGCTGTGTCCACTTCTGTAGCATTGTCTAAAATATAAATGTGGCGGGTGGGCGGAGCTGGGAACTCAGCGAAGCAATTTCACCACCAGGGTTCCCAAGACACACAATGAGGTTAACTCTCCAGTATTCACCACATCACTGAGATATCAGCTTCGGGGTGGAGTGACCCTTTAAGTATGCCTTAGAGGGGGCCTGACTTGGGTGTGTCGCAGTAACTGTCTGGCTGTTATACTGTATAATGAAACATAAATAGAAAACTCCGCCAGGGAGGGCGCGACTACACCATATTGGATGCACGGCTGGGCGGAGTTGGGAACCCAGGTATAAAGATCTGACTGTTGGGGTCCCGTAAGGGATGAACGCCATTGGCTGGGTCGGATTCCCTGAAATCTGGGACAAGGATGATGCTATGATGTATAATAAGGAAGTATTGAGGATCAATAAACCCGATACAATGTTCCTTCAGTCTTCACCCTTCTGTGACCGGAGAGTGTTTGAGCCGTGCAGATGGAGCGATGTGCTCCGCCATGATGGCGTCCACAATGAGCGTTGATGTGCTTCATCCCCACATTCCCTGAGTCTCATATTGGCTCATTCCGCCCACCCACTCGGATCCTGGGATCTGATTGGTGGGATTAGGGGATCAATATCTTGCACGGATGGGACGTAACTCACGATACATTGTTCACCCCCCAAAACACACACATATACACATGGACGTATCTTCTCGTTCCCCAATCCGTGTTCTGGGGTGCAGATTATCACACCGTACAATTACCTCACTAACAATACAATCTAATCTCATCAAACAGCACCGACATTAGATTCTACGGATCTCTGTACAGCCGCTCAACCTCCTCCGCGTGGATAAAACTCCACAATGTGCAGATCGCACCGACTGGGAGCACCAGGACACGAACAGTCCAACACACACAATGCGCACCACACTCCCCATCCATCCGGTGACACCGCTCAGCTCCAGATGTAATACAGCGCTAAGATATGAAATGGAATGGGCCCCGAAGACTCGCTCAGCTTTACAATGTTCAGTCACTGATACCAGAACCGGGCAGGAGAGTCACAAAGTGTGGACCTATCAGATATACATTGACACCAACTGCCCTTCTTCTGGGGCCAATCACCCTCTATACCTCTACTGTAACCAAATACCCTCTAATGTACCCCAATGCCCCTATGTACCTCTATCTTACCTCAATCCTCCTCTGTCATTCCATTGTACCCCAATCCCACCCTGTCATATTGTACCCCAATCCCCCTCTATTGTACCCCAATCCCCTCTGTCCCTCTATTGTACCCCAATCCCCCTGTCCCTCTAATGTACCACAATCACCATCTGTCCCTCTACTGTACCCCAATCCCCCTCTATTGTACCCCAATCCCCCTCTGTCCCTCTATTGTAACCCAATACCACTCTGTCCCTCTATTGTACCCCAATCCCCCTCTGTCCCTCTATTGTAACCCAATACAACTCTGTCCCTCTATTGTACCCCAATCCCCCTCTGTCCCTCTATTGTAACCCAATACAACTCTGTCCCTCTATTGTACCCCAATCCCCCTCTGTACCTTTGTTGTACCCCAATCCCCCTCTGTCCCTCTATTGTAACCCAATACACCTATGTACCTCTAATGTACCCCAATCACCATCTGTCCCTCTAGTGTACCCCACTCCCCCTCTGTCCCTCTATTGTAACCCAATACAACTCTGTCCCTCTATTGTACCCCCATCCCTCTCTGTTTTTCTG